TCTCTTCTGATACTAAATGAAGATTGTGGAACAGGCTAAGAGTTGTCCACAGTGACTTGCCTGAGGTCAATAAAGACAGGAAAACTTCTGGAACTTCAATTTAATAACTGTGCTAAAGAAATAAAAAGGCTTCTTTGTTGTTAGGTGCAGTGTAAACGTTTGCACAGCTCTCAATGTCCTTTTGCAAGTCTGCCATCCCAGCTGCCCCCATGTGAACTTAATCAGCAGCACCAGAGAGCACTGATACTCTTCAGAGTCATTTCTGGGGAAGCTGTCAGGTGACACACCAGATTTCAGCTGCTGTGGTATCATGTGGTCACCAGTTTTGAGTTTGGCAGCCAGAGATTGCCTTTAAAAAGGAGCTTCAAAGGTTTTGAAATCTTCCCTCTCTGGAACAGAATAATTAACTCACTCCAGTATTTGCCCAGGGGCCTGGCAATGTCACACAGTACTTTCTGGCACACAACTTGTGATCTGTGCCCAATGTTCAGTAAAACAAGGTCCATGCTTCGTGATTCCAGAGAGAGCATCTGACATACCCAGGGCTTTCCTTATGGAGGGAAATGATAATGTACCTGATGGTCAAAATACTGACTGTAGGAGATTATGGTATCCCAATGGAAAGTTTTATTAATCTCTTGAGAATGCCTATAGGATTTAAAGGCTTTCAGGCTCTGGGTTCAAATGCATTTGTACTCACAACTTGCAGGAAAGCAGCTGAAAGATTTTTGGGTTTTGGTAGCTGAGAGAAATATCCTTTGAATGTGAAGTTGAAGGAAAAGGATGTCTTCTATTCCAACATACTTGATAATTCTTTTTGGTTTGTGCTGATAATTCTTTTTTCCTGTGCTTCTGAGCATCAGGAAGCTTTCAGCAGATTTGGGAAAGGCTGGCAGGAGGCACAAACTTATATGAGGAAGAAGAAAAAGCTAGGTGTTGCACCCAAATCAGCCTGTGACTGAGCTAGTGTTATCTCTTGTATTCTCTACAGCTCTTTTGAGTGAGGTTGGCCTCTGTTGCCATCACCAAGTTTAGATGAGAACTAGTGGGGTAAAATTCTCTGGACCCCATCATTATTTCCTTAACAACCTTGGAAGTAAAGGGTTGGTTCAGAAGACAAGTGGAAACACTTATTTGTGTTTGGGAGTCAGCAAAAGAGAATATTGCAGGTGTGCTTCTCAGATTACTTTGGTTATTGACAGAATTAGTGTATATGTTTTGAATGGCTAATATTTGTGCTGTCCTATGAGCCCTCCAGGAGTCCTTTTTAGGAACAGTGTAGCCCATACAAAGTAGTAGAGACTCTTTCTTTTTCCTCTTCTTCCCCACCCCCCTCCATCCCCTTTTTAAACATTATTTCCCATTACAGATTCTAAAACTCTAAGTAAATATTTACCTTAAATTCCACTTGGATGCTTTGAAACATAAAATTTCAACTTTTTTTAATTGGATATTTAAAATTGGAAATTACGTAATAACCACTCGAGGTAATGACTCAAATGCTTATGATCCCACTGTCTGAATTGTATTAGGCCATTTGTGAAGCATATGAACCGAGAAACACCTTGGCAATTTAAGCCAAATGAGGCATAACATCATCATTTTCTCAAGTAGTTCTGACCCATCTCTGCATTCCATGAACAAAATGAAAATTCAGGACATCATGTAGCATAGAAACAGCAAAAAGGTCTTGGGTTATATGAGAAAACCTACAGGACTTATATTCTCTCTAAAAATGTAGATGTATAAGTAACATACATTAAACTGATACAAGTTGTACCTAGGTGGTAGATAAGGTTCTTAAAGCTAGGTTTCACAGATCAGCAGCCTATGCCAAATTCTCTGAAATCGAATTACTATTAGAATATTCTACTTCAATTTTCATTCTACTTTTAGGATTTTGATAACTAGTCTTTCCATACTTGTAATATAATACTCTGTACTAGAGCAGATGATGGACAAGGTTCTGTTAACGGATAAAAAAGACTGTGGTGCAATTTATGTGTAATTTACAGTAACTTTCAAATTATCGTTAGAAAGAGAGTAAGAAATTAGAATATTGCTGTTATTTGCCTTTTTTTTTTTTTTCAAATGGACTTTGAAAACTGTTGTTCTAGTTAGACAACATAGTTTAACTAGACAACCTGAGACTGGTCAGAAGAATAAGTGTCTTCTCAGCTCTCATGTCATTGCAGTGTCTGAGCAGCCACCTCATCTGCCTTGGATGCTCACTTCTGTATTTGGCAGTGCAATTCTGAATTAATAAATTTCTGGGCCAGAATCCAGACCAGAGTCTTCTAAATTGCTTTAACACGGAAATCACCAGGAGATTGTCCTGTGTATCAGATTCAGGGGAAGAGCATAAAGGCTGCATTAGCAAAGTTCTGGTCAGGTGTACTAAGGAGAGTGAGATTATAATATTGTCTGCTGCATTGCTGAGCCTCAAAATGTTTGATTTTAGTTTGCTAGCTTTTAAGACCCCCCTGAACCTGAGCATTCTGAAATGGAAGACAGCATGTTCTATTTTCCTTGGCTTTTCCTTCAGTCGCTGAGACTGAAGTTAACTTCATAATGTCTGAAAGGTCCTAAGGTCTATAGGAAAATATCTCCTTCAATAATTACTGCAAACACCAAGACAACCAGCTAAAGCAAAGGTGGCTTACTTTCTATCAGGTCACACTAAGGGAAATGTATCCTACCATAGCAGGGCCATTTATTCACTGGACTGTGGTGGTGTTTGCAGGGATCCCAGGATGAGGGAAGAGATGAGAATCTTGACTCCATGTTTCAGAAGGCTGATTTATTATTTTATGAGATATATAATATTAAAAGAAAATTATATACTAAAACTATACTAAAAGAATAGAGAGAAAAGGATTTCATCAGAAGGCTAGCAAAGGAAAGGAATGGAATGATGAAATCTTGTGACTGCTCACAGCCTCGACACAGGTGGCTTTCATTGGTCATCAAGTAAAAACAATTTCACATGCTGGGTAAAAAATTCTCCAAATCACAATTCAAAGCAGCAAAACATGAAGAAGCTGAAGCTTCCCAGCTTCTCAGTAGAAAAAGATCCTAACAAAAGGATTTTTCAGAAAATACGTCTGTGACACCTGACAAGCCCAATTCCAAAGTGGAATATCACCTTGGCTTAGCAGTGGAGCAAATGACCATAGGGGGTTGTGTCCTGTGGGCTACAGTTCTTCTTTCTGTTCATAATGTTCATCATTATGTTCATAATGTTCATCATGAACTTCTGTTAGAAAAGTTCATGGGGTTTTCTGTTCTTGTCCCACAGCTGCAGATGAAAGCATCCAAGTGGGTGAGCACCGACAGTTCCTATCACGCTCCATGTGCCAGTTAAACATTGTCCCTGGCAAACGCTACCTCCTCATGGGCAGAGATGGGCAAACTGTGGATTGCAACAACAAGTAAGTGCAAAATGGTCCCTGGGCAGCAGCAGCTGCTGTCCTGGACCATAAACCCAGAGGATACTCAGTTTATTAGAATACCTCCAGAAAGTAAAGGCAAAAAAAAAGCATCAAATTTCTCAGGGGACGATTCTGCTGGATTTACTAAAATGCAAAGTGTTCCATTCTATAGGCAAAAGCAGAGCTCTGGGGAAGAGCTGAGCCATCCAATTCTATTGGCTCATGGATCTGTGGTTCCCAGATCTCTCAGGATCAAATCTGGCCCTGGTTCCCCTGGGTTAAAAACTCACAGCTGGAAAAGGACAATGGGATAAGCTACCCAGTCCATCTGTTGCAGATGCCTTAAACAGCTCCTATGTTTGCAGAAGAAATGTGTGGGACCATGACTAAGAGCAGTTCCCAAGGTTGCTGTTACACCATGCATGTGGGTAGAATATTCTTCTCATTTCTCACTGTCACACTTTAATGAATAAAAGGGAATTTATCTGAGTGGGAATTTAGTATGACATTATCAAATATTCAGGGAGGAAGACTTCATAAATGTTTCCTTTCCCTGCACAGAACTAGACAAAGGTAGTGCCTCTGAAAGCTTTTAGGGAGGAGATCTCCATCAAGGTGTGAGCACCACTTCCTAAAAACCTTAAAAAGTTCCATTCCCATCTCTATATGATGCCAAAGTGAGTGCCTAGGTCAGTGGCCTGCTTCAAAAGAAGCCTGATAGATACTGGGGTGTCCTAGCAGAGGTTTAATCTCCAACATCTTCTCCAGTTCAGGCACGAAATACTGGAAGTTACACAGCTTCTCACGGGTACCTCTGTTGGAACTAAACTTCCCTTCACTGTCCAACTGGTGTGCACTTGGGCTTTTTGTGTCATTCTGGAAACTCTAACAGAAACTCAGCTCAAGCTTACCTGACATACTCAAAACACAAGTACAGCCAGGTTTGTCCTAGCTTGGCACTGACACATCCCAGATTTTCATCGAAGCTCAGTTAACCTGCTGGTGAAGACAAGTTTCTTGGCTAGTATAACTCTTGATTTCAGAGATGCCTCTCTTGAGGGATGAGTAGATCAGGGATTACACTTTCCCATTGCTCCATGTCAGGAATAATGACTAACCTTCTTTACTTGTCCCATTTTCCCTCAGGATGCAATACTTACTTGATGCACAAGCCTGGGTGGAGAAAATCCCGGAGGGCAGCGAGTGCCGCAGCACTCTGCGCCGGCAGAGCTGTGCTCACCTGCAGGACTTCCTGAGCACCTCTGACAGCCTGTGCCACGTCTGAACAACGGCTCTGACCCCCACATCTCTCTGGGGCTGCAGCTCACCTTCTGCCAGAATTCCTCCTGCAAAGCCTGTGCATCCCAGTGGCCCCTGTAACATGGCAGGGCTGCTTCCATTGCTGTTTCACTGATTGGGGTGTGAAGCATCCTCTTGTGGGTGTGTGCGTGGGTAATACAATAAAAATGCAGTTCCTCTACTAGTTACTGTGCTTATTGTCCCTGACACTAGGGAAGAGAGAACAAGAGTTGGTGTCTCCATGAGCTATTCTACAACAGTGCAATTTTCCTGCAGAGAGTCAAAAGAAAAACACATTGCACATTGTCTGAATAATTCCTGCAGTCCTGGGCAAAGAAAAAATATTTTAAAAAAGACAAAGACATTTTTCATGGGTCAAAAAGAAAACTGGGTCTTCATGGGCTTACCTGTGTTACACTGCTGCTGAAAGAGTAGAGATACCAACACTCATGCTTAACACAGCAGCTGGTTTCTGGCTGTAATTGAGTCCTACTGACCCCATGGCTGGATTCCATACACTTCTAAAGCTAGAACTAGAAGTGGTACACTGCACCTGCCCTGTGCTGGAATCTTCCACAGGCAGTTTTCCACAGGCTGGTAGCTCACTGAGGGCACAGAATTGCTTTTAATTGCGCTCGGTAGCCACATGTCTTTCAAGCTTTTATTTATCTTGAGTTTAACTCAAAACTGCTCTTTTCTTGGGATAAGAAAAAGTCTGTGGAAAATGTTTTGGTAACACTAATAAGCAGATGACTTTCAAGCACAGTTTTTGCTTCTTTAGCTTGCCAGCAAAATGCCATTTGGCAGTCGTGTCTGAAGCAGAGAAGAACTGTGTAGGTCACCATCCTCAGATGCTCATACCACTATCTGTGCCAGCAGCTACTGAGCACAAACATTTGCCACCTGGACTGCTTGTGCTACACTGCAGTAAAAATAAGAAGGGCCTGTGTCAATGATATGATAATTAGTAGATTCATGCTGAGGTGATTATTTTGGAGTCAAATGATGCTACTGATAGAAAGGGCAACAGTGATGCTCATGTGGCCAAGACATTACACTGCAGCAGCACCTACCAAAACAGCTCCATCACCAGAAATTTCAGATTCACAGAAGACAGTTCATTGCCTTGTGCCTGAACTCAGAACTGAACAGCCATCTTTGAAGGCTGCAAACTCAAACTTAGCATCAGCTGGACCTGGATATCAGCAACATCTTCCTCTCAGATGCCAAGCGTTGCGTGGATGGAGGGTAGGGAAGGCTCATTTCAGGAAAACATCTGGACTGCTTCATGGCATATGTAAAGGAAGATAAGAAACCTACTGAAGGTATAAGACAGGCACTTAAAATGACAGAGGACCTTGAGGTTTGCCCCAGCTTTCACATTTATGAAATGTGATTGTAATGCCTGGTCATACATTCTCTTTATTACACAGCTTATATAGATGTCAGTGATATGGCAAAATACAGCTGAGGTCAGTAAAGCAAGTACTAATTTCTATTAATATAAGATAAAGAATAGGTTGTTGCACTGACATACCCATTATCCAGTAATTCTGCCAATATTTATGAAAGAATACCTCTAAGGTTAAGCGCCAAATCCTTCCTTTCCACTCCACAAGGCTTGAGTTAAAACCAATGTCTGACCCTTCTGCTGTGTAGAGTATATCAACAGCTCAGAGGTTCTTGCCTGGTAAATAAATCACCAAATAATTGCAACACTCAAGACTCTGTAAACTGTGGTGAAAACATCTTTAAAATTTTATATCAGATCTAACATACATTTTACATATTTTCTTCCATTTTACTTGCAGATGAGTCTAGGCTGGAACTGCTTAGTGTCTGAACTTTGCAAATGCAGTCTCAATGTGGGAGCTGTGTGTGACTATTAAAGTTATTTTGGGGGCAGAGGTAATAAACATGATTCTACTTTAACTCTGCCAATTGGGTCCCCTTTGCTTCCTAGGAAAACCTTTAAATATCTTGGCCTAGGATCTAGCATAGAGCAATCTCTATCCCCCTGTACGTTTCTGCCCCAAACTCCCAAACATATACATAGGGAGAGGGAAGACAATGGTGGAGTTATTCTGTGCTGCCACAGCTGTTAATGTTTGCAGGTAACGCAGGGGCAGAGCTGCTGGAGACTCAGACAGCACCATGGAGGCCCTCTGGAGAGCTTTGGAAGCATTCATTTCTCCTTCAGCTGCCACAACCTGCAAAGGAACAGAAATGGAAATGGCATGGAAACGCTGCCCATAGTGGTGAAAATCCAGCTTTATAATGAGGAGAAAACCAACTAGCTTGGATACCTGGAGCCATAGGACAAGAGGAAATGGCCGTTAAGTTGCTAAGGGGAGGTTCTTATTGGATCTTAGGAAAAAAATTAGATTGTCAAGCATTGGAAGAGGATGCCCAGGGAAGTGGTGGAGTCATTAACCTTGGTGGTTATTTAAAGGGTATGTAGATGTGGTGCTTAGGGACATAGTTTAGTGGTAGACTCAGCAATGCTGGGTTTAAGGATTGCATTTGGTGATCTGAGAGGTCTTGTCCATCCTAAATAATTCTGTGGTTCTCTGACAAGAAGATGAAAGCCTGGAGGTGGGTGTCACCTGTCACGGGTCTCACCTTAGCTTTTTTCTCTCGAGCAGCCTCTGCCTCAGCTGCCATTGCCCTCTGCATGGCCATGGGGATCCGGATGTCTTTGATCTCCACACGAGCCACTTTGACTCCCCACTGCTCCGTGGCACTGTCGAGGGTGGCCTTGGGGACAAACAACACGCCAGGAAGAGCACAGTGCTGGCAGAGGGAATGCCATGTGGTGTGCCCTGCTTGGACAGAAGGACGGGGCAAACCACACAGCAGAAAGAGGGATGCCCCAGGGGCACCAGCACCCAGCATGGTGTGTGCACAGTGGGTACAACAGCCTCAGGAAACACCTGCTGGTCAACACCAGTGTCTCCTGTGGGGCTTCTCTCTCACCTACTAAATTATGATCCCCATCCTCTCCTTAGGTGGTGGGCAGTTATGAACTTCTCCCTTTAACAAAGAAATACTACAGCAAGTTCCTTAAACGGCACAACACAGTAAAAGCACACTAAGGGTGAGACACAGGACAGCCCTGCAGCACTGGCAAACTCATCTGGGCTCTGGCTCCTGGGCACTCCTGCAATCCACACCACCACCATGGCTCTGTCTCTGCACAGCCACTCTCCTGGCTGCAGAGGGTACAGTCTCTCTTTGGTCTGACCATGCCTTGTCTCTGACTGAAATTAGCAAATTGGGTATTGGATTTGTCCTCTGCTCTCTGCCTGGCTGCCAAATCAAAAAAAGAAACCAGATGGCATTTAAAAGCATACAGCAACTCAATTTTGTACTCTCAGTTGTAATTGCAGGAGATATAAGTCTTACCTCAATCAAGGGTCTGCTCAAGACAGAGCTTCCCCTTGAGCAGGGGATCTCTTTCTCCATGTTTGCAGCTGCCCTGTGCAAGGCCTAAGCCATTTTTTTTAAATGGCTGGATAATTTCAGAATTTTAATTTCTTTTTGATAGAGATAATTCTGCTACAAGAGGCTGGGGAAATACCTTTAGAATAATTCTTTCTGACTCTAAGCAATGAAAAGTATAATTGAAAAAAATCATAAAGGGAGATTTTGTTATCCTTGTTGAAGAAAGAAAGAGAGATTATTTCTAATTTGCTACTCCCCAGAAGACACCTCCGTGCTTGTGAATTTTGAGTGCCAGATTTACCTGGATACTGTGTGCAATCTCCTCACGACCTGCCAGCAGCTGAACTAAGCTCTGTGTACCCAGAACGTTTCTCAGGGCTGTCTGTGCCAGGAGCAAGGTGGCAGAGTGGACATCAGTGACATTGGCAACTGCACTGACAGCGCTGTGGATCCTGTAGTGCACCACCCCATCCACCTGGGCAGTAACAGCATCCCTCGTGAGAATCTGTATTGGAGAAATGCACACAGTCACAGAAAGATCCAACAACACATCCTTTCCCTAGGAAGGGAATTTTTTTTAACCCTTAGTGAGTAAAAGGCATTGATAATTCAAATAAACTAAGAATTTCTCTTGATTTCTTTGTCATTCACCCAAGAAATTACTTCAAGAGAGCTGTCCAGCATCAACAAAGTTTAAGCTGGGGGAAAATGCTTTACATACAATTGAAGCAGTTTTTTAGAAGGTAAGTGAATCTCATAATTTGAATTAATTTCTTTTGCAACTATAAAAGATGGCTATTCTCTTCCTTTCTTTTAGAAAGGTCCATTAATGAGTTTATACATTTCATGCAGCTTGGGAGATTTGTGCTACTTCCCCTAAACAATGTATTTCTAAGAAATATCAACACACTAAAATAAAAAGTGCAAGAAATTGTGAGAAGAAACTGAAAGAAATATTTAACCATTCATAGAAGAGTTGTCACTTTTTGCCAGACAAGCTTCTTGTGCCTCAGAAGGCAGCTGGCCTCAGTGGAGAACTGATGATGGCCCACTAATACTTTCCCTCCTCAGCATCTTTTGCCTGCAAAGGGATGCTTCACAAAAACCCTGCCAAATGCTGCAGAAGCCTGGCCAAAAGCTGCTAAGCCTTATACATTACAAGTTCTGCAACCATCTTCCTTCCAGCCTCACATTTTGCAGGAGCCATTTTTCATTTCACATCACACGCCCCTTCACCCTGTACTCTAAATAAAAGGTTCTTTCTGTTTACAAAAAGATAGTAGCCCAAAAAAACGTCTCCTAGAGAACACAGTAGGAAATTCTCGGGGCCCAAGGAGTCTTGGAGCTGCCTCTTCTCCCTCTGCTCTTTGTTTAAAGAAGGGGACAGAAGTGTCAACTCCATAAGCAGAAGAATGTTTCTGCCATGGGACTGAGGCCACACAGAACCAAAACTTGATCAGAACAGGATTGTTCAAAAACTCGTCCTTCAGAATAAATTTTTCAGTCAAAATTTGCCAACAAAATGCCAGAAGATTTTTCCTATTTGGATGAATCTTGGTTCCTCCATCCATTCCTGCTTGGGCCTGAGTTTTGTAGAAGGTTGTCTGATAATTTCTGTTAATTTAATGGGATTTGTTACCCATGGTTAATTTGCCTCTCCAGACATATGTAGAAGCCTCTTTTGAATGGTGAGCTACATGGCAGATCAAATTTTATTAGGACATTAATTTGCAACTGGGAATTTTGTAGCCCACTCCTGTCTTGTCATCCCTGTCTCACATTCACACTTGTAACTCCCTTCCCTTATTTTTGACATCACAGCTCTGAACACCATCTTGACCTGCAATGATGCACCTGCAGATTTTCATTAGGAGAGTCACAGAATGGTTTGGGTTGGAAGGGATCCCAAAACTTCTCTCAGTTCCAACCCGCCTCCCATGGGCAGGGACACCTTTCCTAGACCAGGCTGTTCAGAGCCCCCTCCAACCTGGCCTTGAACACTTCCAGGGATGGCACACCCATAAATTCTTTGGGCAAGAAGTTGTGTTGTGAGCAGCTTGAAATGCAGAAGATACAGCTGAAAAGCTAAGTTTCATATGGTAGCTAAATTCCATATGGTAGCTCAGTGCAGCAAAATTACAAAACATGCATTCCTTTTATGTTATTATTACATGAATTTGCTGCATCTTTTGTTCCTGTCTTAGATGGCTGCTAGAGAAGTTACCTCTTGTGGAGGAATCTTGCAGGCAACCATCCTCAGATCAACCTTGGTAAATGTATCTGTACATGGAAGTACAAGGATCATTCCTGAAAAATAAAAATTATTAGATGAAACACCTCTGAAACTAAAGTCCAGATCCATGTATCCTAGAGATAAACAGATGGATTCGGAATAACACTCTGCCTTATCTCTGCAGCTGTCCTTTCTGCTTACAAGACATGACAACAGCGATGTTTTGCATTTTCAAATAACAGAGGGAAGTGCAGATATCTGCAAATAATGTGAACTCATTAGAGCTTAATGACCTAGGACTCTTGTCTGGAAATGGGCACCTTGAAGCTCTTGTCTGAAGTCTACCATGAGACTTTTGGCAAAAATTCCTTCCATGCCTTTAATTTTCCCTTTTTATATCACAAGCCATACATGGTTCATTATGTGTCCTCAGGAAAGACATCACGCAGGTTATTCCTGCACCACATGAAGAACATTGTCCCAAGAGGTGACAAATCCTGTGAAGGAGTCTCCACTCTCCTTCACTGGAGAGGGAGACTGGACAAAACTTCCAATCCTCTCTTGTAACCTCAGCACCTTGCTTTGGCACCCAGAGCCACACAGGAGAGCCCTGTACAGGCCTAGCTGCTCTTTGGACCACATGACTACTATTCAAGAGGAAGGACAGTACCTGAAAAGGACTTTTTCCTGTTATTTCAACTACCATTGCCCAGAGGTGGTAACTGCACCAATGCAGACTCCTCATGCAGCTGGGTTTGGTTTGTGATTTGTAAGCTGGTCCTAGGGAACAGCCCTGGTGCAGCTGCTGCGTGTCCCTGTTCTGACACATTTACCATTTTCAGGGCAGAGGACAGCTAAGGAGCTGGCAGCAACAAGCTGTGCTGGAAGTGAGGTGCAGGGAAAGAGGCCACGGTCACCCAAAAAAGACCATGGCAGACATGAATACTGCATTTAAACCTCCCTGCAGTTCCCCTGACAGTGTGTGCAGCATGAACTCATCCTTCTGTTGCCCAAATTGCTCAGCAGCAAAGTCACACCTGGTATCAAGGTTCTCAAATTTCTGTGCTAGGACAGGAGGGGGGCTGTATCTCCTCTCGAGAAAAGTAAACATTCTGCAAGTAAAGGAACTGCAGAGGGGACCTTCTCATTCCCCTCTATGCTATGAAGGATTTAATGGAACCTCTGCAATTCTCTATGAGGTCTGAGTGCATTGTAATAGCATAAACAAACCCAGAGGACTTTACCAGAGAAAAACTGCATGCACTCACCTGGTCCCTTTGCTTTCTTAGACAGGATGCGTCCCAGACGAAATACAACAGCACGCTCATATTCTCTGACAACCTAGGAAAATATTTTAAATTTAGAATTTTACAACTAATTCTATTTTCATTCCTTGGTCCTTTAATTTTTGGCACCCATATTAAATGTGAAGAAAGTACAAATGATATAGGAAGCAACAAAGCTGCAAATCACTTTCTTCATGTCTTCTACTTGACTCATGATTTGCTGGAAAAACTCAGCCCTTGCCCATTGAAACACGTTACAAAACAGATCACCTATTAAAATATTAATAGTGATCTAAAAAGAACACCCCAGAGCTCTCTCAACATCAGCAGTACACTCAGGGAAGTTGTAGGCAAAGGGGCTCTGACTTCAGGTAATCCAAACCACTTCACTTAGTGCATCATGCCTACTGAAGGCCTGGTATCCAACTGATGTTTATCTGGGAGTTTAACTGATGATGAATGTTGAGACTGGAAGAAATTAAGTGAGGAAGTTGTGGCAACACAGAACATTTGTGGAAGATCCTGTGTGGATCTCATTTCCAGAGCACATCTTTGCTACAAACCCTTATGATTCCCAAAATGTGAGTGTGAGGTGCCTTGTCTAAACTAAATCAGTAAAAAAGTAACAGCAATGATAATAGAGCATTATTCATGTGCTTCAAATCCTGCTAGCTTACCTTGATACACACCCAGATGGAAATAGGAAAGGTAATAAGCACCAGAAGGAATGAAAGTGAAACCAGGATCCAGCCACAGACACCAATTCCTTCCTGCCTGTCAGCTGTAAAAAACATAAGGAAGAAGAGCAATGAATGCAAAATTTGAGAAGTCATCCCAGGGATGTACATCTAGCCCAGCTGCAATCATATGGGACCACAAAGTCCACAGAAACTCACTCCCTCTTCCTCTTTCCAAAGAAAGCCATAAAACACCTAACCAAACATTCAGCTTTATCGCCTCTCAGCGCAGAAAAATAAAAAAGACTCAGAAAATATATTTTTGCAACAGGAAAATGAAATATATTACCAAAGCTGGGGGCTATAAAGAAGAAATAAATGAATGGGTGAAACCATGAGTATGAAACTGTTGGGTGGGGCAAAGGGTTTAGTTTGTATGAAACAGATAGCAAATAAATAAATGAGGGGAAGTCCTGCCTTCTTTACATGAACATTTTTAGGTATATTAATGGACCAGTACATCCACAGGACTGTTCAGCAGAACTTCAAAATTAGTGCTTGTCAAAATGCATGCCCATGCATTTTAAGCAGTTGTCTCAGTGCATTCAGCTCATCTCATTCCAAAATTTCATTCTAATGAAATAAAACAAATATAAAACAAATTTCATTATTTTAGTGCCCGAAGGGAAGGCAGTAGTATAAAGTAAGTTATTTCAGAGGTGTAGGGCAGGACTGGAAATTTCTAATACCAAATAAAACTCACATGCAGACAGAAATGAGAAATAGGAAACAATTCAATTTATACTTTGTAAGAAAAAAACAGATTGTCAGGACCCTGAAACAGCAGGAGGCTCCCTGATCCATAAGGCAGGAGCTGGCAGAGCAGGACTGGCAGGTTTGTCAGAACACTCCCAGCAACCCCGGGGCAGGAGGACACACAGCACAGTCCTCCTGAAGCCCCTGCCCCTCCTGGGTCCCTGTGCATGGCCAGGCTGTGCCTGCTGCTCTGGTGGCTGCACACCTGCGTGGGACATGGGACATGGGACATGTGACATCCCCCCTTGGCTGCTCTGGTGGCTGCACACCTGGGTGTGACATGGGACTTGTGACATGTGACATCCAGCCCCTGGCTGCTCCCAGCTTTGCCCATTCTGCTTGTGAGGCCCCCGATGCAGACTGAATTACTCACAAATGAACATATTTGCATTCAGAAGGGCCCTGGTTCAGGTGTCCCTGAGAGCTGGGCACAGAACTGGTGCATCAGGAGCCCAGCTTTCCTCCTCACCCTTCCCAGAAAACCAGCAATCTTAAATCCCTGGTTGTTTTATGAGGTATCATCAGGCACTTTGCAATCAGTGGCAAAATTGATTTGAGGAGCTTCCCTAATCAAATTACTGTGCAAACCTTAACGGCATGTGTATAAAACCAGAATTATTAGGATTTAGTGTGAATATCTTTAACCCTTTAACTGTTATCTGTTGTCCTCACATTACATTACACTAGTGGTGTAGGCTACAACAGGTACATAAAATACCAAAGACACCAGTCAGGTGTCTTTCAGTCAGTGGAAAGAGATCACAGAAAGTCACAGAATAGGCATCATTCATAATTCTTAATCTGAAATTGGAGCAAATTAATCATGAAGGGATTTTTGTTCAGCAGAACTAAGCTTTTTTACTCTCTCTTAATTTCTCATAAATTGCCAACTTACAGAAAACATCTGAAGATATTTTTCTCCAGTAACAAATTTGATTATGAATAACCTCCTCAAAAGCAATTTTGGGTTGTAGCGTCATCTACCATCATCCACATGAGCCCACTGTGAAGATGCCTGGTGAGAATGGCACAATCCACAGACAGGGGAATAGATGGGAAGAAATGCCAGCACTCAGCAGATTGATGCTCAAGCAGCTGAGAAGAGTTAGAGGTCAAGGTATCACTCCTAACCACCATGGGCAAAAAGCATGCATCCAAAACTTGACAAAGTACAATTGAATCCTTCTCCACAAGAACTGTCCTAGAGATCCTGATGTCAGCTAATAATGTAGGTTACAATCAGAAAAGGAGAACAGGAAAATATTTCATTCTTTGAATGAAACTCCTAGCTCCCCCCAAGCCACCATAGATCTCTGAATACCCCAAAGTTTCAAACCATTTAACCACACAACAAATTAAAGACTCTGGAAAAAAAATAATAGTTAAGAATCAGTCACAATCCCATGTATCATTGACCTGGGTTTGCCATGCCTGTATATGGATTATAATACTCATAACCACCAAAAAACCTCACTTGACTCTTTAGTCCAGAGCACATCAGGAGCTACAATGCATCACAAAATGTGAGAGCTCATCACTCAGCAGTTGTGTAAAAACTCCAAGGTGATGGAATAAGATTTACTTTGTTTTATCTTAATGCACTCATTAGGGTACATCACAGACTTGGTAAACAAACTCATTATGTGGGTTTAACACTTGGAAAGCAAATTAAAACATCAGTATGGGCAAAAATCTCCCAGGCCTCCTACAGGAACAAAAAGATGGAGTAGATTCAGCCTCTTTAACCACCATGCTTTCTACTCTAACCTTTCTGCTTTCTCCTAAGGGCTGAAAAATTCTCCTGTCTTCCCTAACTAGATCCTATTTTCCTCTCTCCAGTCCATCCCTCCATACAGAAGTGTATCAATAGCTGAATCAGTCTTTCTCATGAATGGGGTCATGTTGGCAGAAAGTAGATGCTGATGCATCCTGGCAGGGCAGCATGAGGCAACTTGCTCTGTCACTAACAGCGGCACATTCTGAGTTTTCATCTACAGTCTATGTCAGAAATCTAGTGTAAAACAAATGTACTTTTTTGTTTGGTTAGTTTTGCTCCTTTTTAATATTATTGAGAAAAAACCCACTCACACACAAAAACAAGGCTTACCAATTAGATGTTCTGTGTTCATTTTCTTGGGTCTCTCTGTCTGGGGATCCATCCCCTTAGAGGGAAGCTCTGACCCCCTCATAGATGAGACAGCAGCAAACCTTGAAACTGCAGGGCTTGTGCAAGATGCAGAAGAGAGAGGCAGGATGAGAGAAGGAGAAATCCCTTGCGTTGGAGTCTTCTGGGAGTTGGTTACCCTGGTGAAGAGAGGATGTTCCCAAACACCAAGTCTTGTGTCTCTGATGTAGCTGGATGTATTTTGTGGCTGTCCTCTGTCTGAGGTGCACTTGGCCCAGCTGGTCTTAGGCCCCACACAACACAAGCTGGAAATAATTTCTGTGAATTCGTCACTAGAGATTAAAACACCCACAAAAAAGCCAGGAAGATGAAGTGAGTCCTGTGAGCAGCAGCTGAGGTACAGCCTTAAGAAAACAAGGCTCAGGGGAGATCTCAACCACCTCTACACCTGCCGGAAAGGAAAAGGATGTTGTAGCAAAGTGAGGATTGGTCTCTTCTATCAAGAAACAAGCAACATTACAAGAATAAAAGGGCTCAAGGTGTGCCAGGGGAAGCTTAGATTAAATATGAGAAAAACCTTACTTCACCAAAAGAGTTGCCAAACACTGGAACAGGCTACCCATATAAGTGGTAAGGTCTCCCTCCCTGGTGGCATTTAAAGCACATGTAGCTGTGGCACTTAAGGATGTAGTTTAGCAGGGGACTTGGTAGTGCTGGGTTAATGGTTGGACTCAATCCTAAGTGGTCTTTTCCAACCTGTGATGCTATAAAGCCAGAAGGCAGATTGCATGCTGCTCCTCTGCTGTTTTGGGGCTCAGCTGCTGTTCAGATCTCAAACACCAGCATAATAAACAAAACTCCAGATGAGGTCTCCAAACCGTGTAGAATAGCTCACCACACCCCTCTTCACACTGTCCATCAGTCCTACAGGCTGAGCCCTGTAGAGCTGGATAACCTCAAAACCACAGCAGAAGCATTTCAGTACCCAAGTCTGAAATGTCCCCCAAGTAACAGTATTTTTCACAAAATATTTTGACAATCAAATTAAGCACAGTATTTCAGACTAAGCCATTTCTGAAGGCTGTAGCAGCAGAGGGCAACCCTCTCAAAGGACAAGGCTTGTTGCTTGTTATTTTAATAAAATATGAGAGGCGGCTTTTTTATATGTAATCTATGAGTTTGATACATAGCTGCATTAATTACAGGGCTGGTTTTTGTGGGCATCTGTTATCTAGAATATAACTGAAGATCTGGCTCCAGCTTCATTTCACCCAAGTCCTCCTTCCTGCCAGTAATCACCTTGGCCCCAGATGGGTCATTCAAAGCTGACTGTTCCCCAGAGAATCCTTTTCAGTCTCACAGAGAGGAAAGTACAGGTTACAAATAGACATTTTACATTACAAAACAGACATACAGTTTACTAAACTGACATTTCAAATCCCACTGAAAGCCATAAGCACAGCCTGAAAAATCAGGATTGACATGCTTATTGCAATATGGTCCCAAAAATGTGACAATATTAATTTTAGACCATTTGTAGCATTTTCATCATTATTAGACTTCTAAATACTGAGCTGCATGATCACACCTCTTCAGGACAGATGCTTACCAGTAGGGTAGCATGTGTGAACAGTGACAAGAGAAATGTGGTTTAATTATTTCAGAATCAAAACATAATATGCAAAACTATCTCAACAATATCTTTTTCATTTTACAGCAAAACTAAAGTTATTGGAAATAGCTTAATTCTGAACCATTTCAATGCCACAATTTAAACAGCTGTTTATACCATCAGATAAATGAGCAGCACATGCTAAAAGGTAACAGACATAATTGTTTCCTGTTTATTGACAACTTCCTGAGGTGACTGTAAATAGTAAGGTGAGTAAAGCAGATGGTGTTTTGCGTTTCTGTTCCGGAACATCACAATATTAGGTTTTTTTCATTTTAATATTAGGTTTTTTTTCATTTTAATGTTAGCTGCACTTTTCCCCTCTTTTCAAAACTTTGAAATCAAAGCTAGGGCAATTTTAACACTTTCTCCTTGGGGCTATACTGGGGCATGTGGATAACTCATGTCCCAGATTACTACAGATCGCTCAGAGACTAAAACACATGAGAGCTTTGGGGCAAAGCAGTTTACAAGCTATAAGTTCACTGGGTGCTGAACAGCCTGGTGCACTCCTGTGACACAGGGCACAGCCACAAAGACTGAGCTCAAAGCTGCTTCAGCAGAACTTACTCACTTAGAAGCCACATCAGATGACTGGTTCAGGCTGCTCTCAGTTCAGCTTTTTCTGCAGAGTTTTATATTTGTGATACAGCTAAAGCCTTCAACTTCTATTCCAAAAGCAGCCGGAGGGCTCAGGTCAGGCACGATCAGGTACTTACCTGTAAGTACAATATTCTCCAACATTCCTCTGCACCAACAGCTACATTTACAAACTGCACTAGTCCTTGACAGTCTCTACAATGTCAACTTTCTCTCACTTACCTCAGAATCCGGTTGTAGAGCCTTAATCCACAGCCATTTGTAAACAGTGCCAATCCCAAAAATGCAAAGAATTGTCAGGCAGTCCCCACATGAGATTTGTAAAAAAAATTTGTCTTTTCCTGACCTTCTTAGGTCCATACTACTTTCTTTCCCATGCACTGGGCTTTGGCCAGTCCCTATAGATTTCTCAGCCTAGTCTTTTCCTGGCCCCAAGTTCTGCCTACTTGTTTCAGGCTCGGCATTCCCTTTCCCCAGGTCAAAATTAAGGAGACAGGACAGGACAGAGCAGATTAACAGTACTGTCCTTTTGCTTGTAAGAACATTCCCATATTGCTGCTCCTCCTCATGAAAATGGCATCAGCTTTCAACAGCTGAAGGTCTGGAGATGACAGAAGATCCCTCTTGGTCCACTAGAGGAAATATGAGAGAGAGACAAAGGTATTGCTCCTCTATCAAAACAGAAAGGCAGGCAAGTCGCAAACAAGCCAGAACATTCATACCATGGCAAGCTTCCCTTCAGGACCAGGCAAACTCCCAACACTCATTTGCAAACCAGAGGAAAAGGACAGAAATTATTCTGTTTTGTCACAGACATCTTTTATGAAAAATAATTTCCTTAGGATTTTTCCTCCTGAGAAGCTGAGAGACCTCAGGAACAAAATGTAAACAATAATTATCTGCTGCTGTGGAATGCAACAGGTGGATCTGTGATTGGTTTCATGTGGTTGTTTCTAATTAATGGCCAATCACAGTCAGCTGGCTCAGGCAGAGAGTCCGAGCCACAAGCCTTTGTTATCATCCCTTCCTTTTCTATTCTGAGCTAGCCTTCTGATGAAATCCTTGCTTCTATTCTTTTAGTATAGTTTTAATGTAATATATATAATAAAATAATAAATCAAGCCTTCTGAAACATGGAGTCAGATCCTCATCTCTTCCCTCATCCAAAGACCCCTGTGAACACTGTCACACTGTCGGATCTCAAGATCTCAGTCCTGAGATGCTGAGCCTCCGAGACCCTGGGGGGGCTCGGGACTCCTGGAATGTTGCCAGAAGTGTCTGGTAGCTGGACTTTAACCCTACACAGGAGACGACAAGGATGAGGGCTTCACCGGGTGAATGGTGAAGGGATTAGTTAATTAGAGGGTGAGACACAGGGTTTAGGATTTATGTACAGGGGGGTTTAGAGGAGTAAGATGGAGGAATTGGGGTGTGTCCTGTCCTCCTTCTGTTCCTCTTCTCCTCCATCTTCTTTGGCCACGGTGGCACCTTTGGATTGGTTATTGTTGAGAGTACACCGAGTTATAAGAATAGATGGTATTGGGGAAAAATGATAAATATTGTATACGTCACAATGGGTATAAAGATAGGTGCCTGCCCCGGAGGGAGAGACAGTGTGCCCATGGCTGACTGCTGAGCAGATCTCTGGTGGCTGAAAGAACATCTTTTAGATAAACAATTAATAAACATAAAACCAGAAAGAAGAACTGAAGCCTCTTCTCGTCCTTCAATACACGGGCTGCCCCAAGGCCACCCCCGGGCCTTCCAGGCCCCTCAAACAGCCGAGATAAACCGGACATCACACTGTTTCTCTCCTATTCACTGCAGCTGCAATTAAAGCACTTGAAAGAGACACTGAAACTTGTTTGCAAACACAATCCCAGTATGTTCTTAGTTATTGCAAAAAAGGTTTTATTTCAAGGAACACTTCACCACACCGTATCTATGCAGGCCATCAGAACACACAAAATAGAGCAATAATAGACAACTTGAACAGTGAAAAAAATCAGTCAGTCCAGAATTAAAGTCATGCACGAAGAGCCCTTTCCTGGCACAGGATCAGTGTAAGGTGGTTTGCCTCAGAGCATTTCAGACATTTCCTTGGCTGTCTAAAACCGGTGCTCAAGTAAGCATGAAGGAACGCAGGACAAATCACTCCTCTTAGAAATTCCAAGGTTGAGTCACAGCACTTTGCTGCAATGCAGAACACAGAATCTATTCCTGAAGAGGAAAAAATTAATAAAAAACAATTTTACATCAGGAGAAATATTGAAAAAATTGAATTTTAATCCTAACCAGTGGAGAGCTGCTTTACAAAACCCAGCTCAGTAAGAACCAGAGAGCCTATTCCAGACATAAGAACTTTACAACTAAACACTTCTTAACCTATTCACTTGTCTAACACTGATGGAAGCATCAAACACTCTTCTCTGGTAAAGTGGCTGCACAACACCCAGTAACTACACTGCTTCAGGAGAAGAGCATTTAACACAGTGGATTTCACGACTTCTCACCTGTTTACATTTGGAGAAACAAGGCTTGAGTTTCTTCAGCATCTCTGAGTTGTCCAGTGCTCGGACAGGAACCCCATACCCCATGACCATTCAACAAATATTTTTAGAAACAGAGGCACAAAGTGCTTACATTTGGACAAAACAGTATTATTTGCTTTTGACTACAAGGTGACGTGAATCAGTTCAAACTTTGATTGATTGATGGGGAAACTAGGATAAAATAGTATGTCAGACTCAGCACCTCAGTAACATTACTGAGCAATTTGCTGTTGATAAGATACCTGTATCTGTATTTTCTCCAACTCATCTGCAAGTCTACAAAGAACAAGTTATGGAAAGAATGACA